AGTCAGCTGTCAGGGAAGTTTCCTTGTTTGGGGTAATGTACTAGGGACCCATAATGGGACATTGCCCACTGATGTACAGAGCCCCTTCCTCTTTAGTTATCCTACATCAGGACCCTCGCCACCTCTGCCTAAAGTCCATTCTCTCCCTCACATACCCTTCTTCCCTCCTACCCCTCCCCTGCTCCTGTTTAGTGAGTTTCACACCTTCCTCTTCCTCCTTTTCTTCTTCTTCTTCTTCTTCTTCTTCTTCTTCTTCTTCTTCTTCTTCTTCTTCTTCCTCCTCCTCCTCCTCCTCCTCCTCCTCCTCCTCTTCTTCTTCTTCTTTGCCTGTCCTGGAACTAGCTCTTGTAGACCAGGCTGGCCTTGAACTCACAGAGATCCGCCTGCCTCTGCCTCCTGAGTGCTGGGATTAAAGGCGTGAGCCACCACTGAATGGCTTATTTTCTTCTTCTTGAGACAGGGTCTCCCCTATGTGGACCAAACTGATTTAAAACTTACCAATTAGACCAGGCCAGTCTCAAGCTCTCAACTTCCTACCTTTCATTGTCTTTCCTTGGCTCCACTCCTACATGTTGGCCCCTCTGTGTCTGTCCCGAACATGACAACCTCAGTGTGTGCTGTAAGCAGAACATGGTCTATTTCTTTCTCTTGTTTTCTTTTCATTTCTGTTTTCTTTCTTCTTTTACACAATAAACATGCTGTTTCTAATAGCCCCCTCACCTCATACACATAAGCTCTATGGTACAAGACAATAGCAGTTTAGCCTGCTTGATGCTGAGTTTTGAGAATGCTTCCTGGAGTCTGGAGACATGGCTCAGTTGTTAAATGCTAGGCTCCAAACCAAAAAGACAGAGGAGGGGGCCAGATGAAGCCCTTGTTAGTCCTAGTAGGGGACTCAGGTCTGAGCTGAGGCTGAGAGAGATTTTGCCTTGAGGCTTGAGGCAGAGAAGGCTGAGTCTGGGTCAGTGGAAAAGGAAATCTGATAAACCTAATCATACTCAGCCATCACCACCCCCCTGCAAGAATTTTGTATCTTCTATTGGAGTCAGAGGGTGACCTGAGTTTAGGTTCAGTAGCAGAGTTGGTCCATTTAGCTCTGCAGATCTGAGGAGCCTTGAGACACGGGATGCTGACGGAGATTAATAACAGAATGTTTTCTCCAGCCTTCTTGCTTTCGAGATGGGGCTCCATGGCTTGGGATAGGAAGGTATCTTTGCTAGCCAGCACTCACTCTGAGCAGCAGGCCACTATGTGTCCTTGTTATTCCTGCAGGAGCTGGCTGGAGCAATGTAGTCACACTGCGGCGAACACAGTAAGTGCTCCAAGAGGAACGGAAGCCGCCGGCTGAGAATATTGACATTGTCACTGTTCCAGCTGGGAAAACTTTACCCTAAGTTAGGCCAACTTCTGCATTTCTTCTCTCGAGGTCTCCCGCTCTAAGCCTGTCTCTCTTTTGGGCCCCCTCCCCCTTTTCTTTCTCCCAGAAGCCTCCCTGGCTCCTGCATAGAACGCACAGTTTGCACATTACGGTAGTCACTTGCAAAGGCCGAGGGATCTCATCGAAGGTTTCATTCAAATGTCAAGATGAATAGCACCACTCATGAACCAAGAAAGCACGAAGGGTTTTGTTATTTACACAAAGGCTGTCTCTCGGGGCAGCAGGTCCCAAATGTCTTCAGAGCCAGGAAGGAGGATAACCTGGATTTTTCACTGTGGTTGGGGGTGAGCTGACAGTGTAAAGTCAACTGGAGGGGTGGGGTGAAGCCGGCAAGATAAAGTCCTTCAGAACAAAGAGTTTCAGCCCCATGGCGTGGAACTGGGAGTCCTCTCTCCAGATCTCCAGGCCAGGCTCAGACAGTCCACGGCTCCTCCATTCCAGTCCACCCCTCCCCGTAGGTCTGTCTGACACTACCCACATTCCTCAGTTGGGTCTGTCTTCTCCCAGTCTCCCAGCTCCTGCTCCCACGTTCTCTCTGGACACTCCTTTGGACTGGAAATGCCATCCCTCATCCCTTTCCTGCTCCTGGTCCCCAGATCGGACATGCTGGTCCTTCCTGTTTGGGACAGTTTACGAGATAAGGCCTGGCGTGGGGCCCATCTGTCATCACCACATGACGCAAAGCTATTTTGGGCAGGACCCCTGGCTATACCAAGTGTCCACCCTGGCCCTCCTGGCCCTGGCTATTGACACACTCTTCTAGGAATAAGGCCAAGAACCAAGGGAGGGCAAATGCAATGGCTCGACTTCCCATTCAGCTTCCTGTTCCTTGACCCCAGATGTCTCTTAAACCTCTGATAGCTTTGGGACCACGAGTCAAAGCCTGAGAGAGGCCGGGTAGCTCTAGAAGTCACAGCGCGGATTAATACCTTTCTAAGAGCAACCAGGGACAAATATCCTCTCCCAAACGCCACCCAGCAAACTGTTATCACAGCTGCTCTTGTTTAGGTATGTCTGGCCAAACAACATCTGCCTGGAGTTTCCCTTAAAGCACAGCTGTGGCCAGTGGCGTCCAGTCTAGGGTCTGCCTTACTCCCTTGCCATGGTTTGTGTGGCTTTGGACATCCAAATACACCCCTGAAGTTTGTTCCCTCAGGAGGCAAACAAGGATGACAATCCTGACTTTCACAGGATTGGTAAGCTATGAAGTCAGACTGGGGCCACTTTCTGGGCTCTGATTCTAAAGTGTACTCCTAACTGTGCCTGGTTAAGGATGCTGGCTGTTCAAAAGCCAATCTTTAGAGGCTAGCCTGAGCTACGTGGTAGATGTCATAGCAGGCTGGCAAGATGCCTCAGCATGTAGAACACTTGCTATGTAAGCCTGATGACCTCAGTTCAACCACAGAACTCACGTCAAAGGAGAGGGAAAGAAGGAGCGATCCCACAAGGTTGTCCTGGTCTCCCTATGCACACCACTGCACATTCTAGACACTGCTGAGTGGGTCTTGGCCGCTGGTCACTTTGTAGACCACGCTGGCCTCGAACCCACTGAGATCTGCCTGCTTCTGCCTCCCGAGTGCTGGGATCAAAGGCATGCGCCTCCACCACCATCACCACCTGGCAACATCTCAGAGTTTTTTTGGTGTTTGTTTTTTTTCTTCCCCCCCCTCTGGCCAGAACACTGCAATTCACTTTATCTCCTGGGACTAGTTCCTAAAACAGGCAGGCTACTTATCACGAGCTAAACAGTGCCGTAGTAAATATACATTAGTTTGTAGGAAAAGACAAGGGGAATGATGTTACAAAGGTCATCGGATCTTCTGGTATCTGCAAAGCTAAAGGAAGACAGATTGTTTAGCAGTTACCATTTTAACCATTTAGGTGGGGCTTCTAGTTAGAATTCATTGTGCCAGGCAAAAGGAAGGGAAGTACTAAGTAATGGCCGAGGACACTCCCAAAGGAGAGGCCCTGCCACTCCAAATCTCACCAAAATCTGATTTGTCCTTAAGTGTTGATCATTAGCATAATGGTTAAGGCGGCTTCTGGGGTTAGATACTGTGCAATTGGAATCCTAAAGTGTGACCTCAGCCAGGTCGCCCAACTTGAGCCTTGGTGCTCCCATCTTAGAGCAGAGGACACCTTGACGCGTGGTGTGGGGATTTAATAATCCTAGACTGTCTTCCAGCAGCTCACTCTGCTCTCACTTCTTTTTAACCCCAGACTCTGCCCGGCTGCTTCTGCACCAGTGCAGGCACTTGGGGCTGCAAAGAAGTCACACTTACATTCTGTAAGAAGAGCTGTCCCCCTCTCCCCACACCTCCTCCAGGGCTGTGTCTACAAAGGTGCACCCCTCAAACAAAACTGCTGTGCCTGATGTAGGGACAGTCCTGCTCCCACAAGTAAATAGGGTGATAGGTACAGACCCGGGTTTGCATCCATTACATAGTGGTGACCATGACAAACTCTCAGTAACTGTCATTAGTAAAAGGCAGTGCTGTCTCTAAGGGCTGCACCTTTGGGGTGAAGGCGTAAGATCATCTATGTGGAAATGAGCCTCTTCTAAGGTCACGCTGTGGAGACAGCGAATTGGACCCAGAATGCACTGGCTTCTCACACACCCGAGCAGAATCCTATTGGATGGCTCCATTTCCTGTTTTCCTTGCTGTGTGTGTGTGGCAGGTAATAAAAACTGACTTTAAAAAGTAGTATTTGTAAAGCAGTTAGCATAGTTCCAGCTGCAAAGGGTGCTTTCTTCTTATTATAAGAACATATAGAAAACGATGCTCAGAAAAAATGAGTCTTGGTTTTGCAACAGGGGAAATCTAAGTTAGACTTTAAAAAGTCCCTAATGATCTCTTGGAGTTCTCTTTCGGTTTGATTCTTTCCCGGATAATGAGATCTTTGAGCCTACCCCACCTGTCTGCAGCCGGCACCACCTAGAACAACTATGGGAGTTGAGGTCCCAGTCACAGCCCCTAGAGACAAAAGCTTCCCTTTGCTAATTACAATTACTGATGGGTTATCATCACCACCGCTAAATATATCTGTCTGGCTTTACGGAGGAGCCGGTTCCGGCTGGGATCAGGACAAGAGCAGGCGGGTGGGCAGGATAAATACTACTCCATATCTAACATCGAGGGCTCTGAGTATGAAGAAAGTCCGGAGACACACAGTCACCTCTTAGGGACTCGCAGCGCGGCGGAGGTCCACATTCCAAGCAGCGGGGCAACGAGGACAGTTCAACGAAGAGCCAGTGCCTGGTCTGTCCAGTCCGGACCGTGGTGGTGGCCTTGCCTAGAACCGCCTCTTCAGTTGCAGCCGCTGCGAAACGCCAGGCAAAACCCACCTCCGGCCCCGCCCGTCCAATCCGTCTTGCGCTGAGGGCGACGCTTCCAGGGAGAAGCAAGCCGCTGGGAGGGGAAATCCAGGCTTTAAGGGTTCCCGACAGGTGTCTGAGAGAGAGGGCGGAGTCAGGGTAAGAATGATGGAGAGGGAGGGGCGGCGCTGCCCCTTTAAGAGGCGGCGGCCGAGCGGGGACCTTTTCTCTTTCCCCGGAAGGAAAGCGGAGCTCGGGCTGGGCTCGCAAGGTGGGGAGGTGCAGGGCTGGGCAGTGGAGAGGCGGGGCACGCGCTGGCGAGAATCCCTCCCTCCTGCTTTCTTGGCGGTCGAGGGTTTGCCTTTTCAGATCCTCCACCTAGCTGGGATCCAAAGAGCTAACACCACCAAGGGGGCGCGGCCGGGACCATCTAGGGTGCCGGGTGCCCAAAGTCGGGCACGGTGACCTGTCCACCCAGCCAGCGGGAGAGTAGATCCACGGACCTGGAGAGGATTGGAGAAGCGCCACCCCGGAGCAGACGTGAAGCTGGCTGGACTAGGGCAAGAAATTGCCTAGGACTTCGAGCGCAGTGGCGCTGCGGGCTCGGGTGTCCTCTGGCGGCGCCTGGAGCAGGTGAACCGTTCACCACCCCCAGTGTTGAGCGCTCTTGTGTTTTCGCCCGGCCCGGCTCACGCTCGCAGCCATGGGCCCCGGCCCCCGCCGCGCGCCCCGCGACTCTGGCTGGATGCTGGGCGCCCTGGCCTTGATGGTGGCGGCTAGCGGCCGGGTAGCCTTCGCTTTCAACCTGGACACCCGATTCCTGGTGGTGAAGGAGGCGGTGAACCCGGGTAGCCTTTTCGGCTACTCGGTCGCCCTCCATCGGCAAACCGAGCGACAGCAGCGCTACCTGTAAGTCAGCCTGGCGGCGGCGAGACGGGGTGTGACGGAGGGTATGTGCGCTGATGCCTGACCTAAGCTGAGTTGGAGCCCTGGGCCCACTGACTTCCAGGTCTTCTGCTGCTGGCCTTTCCTTGTGAGCCAGTATTAAGGGGGCGGGTGTGGGGCTTGGCGGGAAGTGGAGGATTGGGGGCAGTAATCACAGCAAGTGCTGACCTGGCCAGAACCTGTCTAGACGCGGCCGCTCCATGCTTCAGACCTCTTCGGAGAGCAGAAGTTGGGTTTCTGTTTTCCAGTACCTTGAGAATCCAGTACCTAACATTAGTTTCTTTCCCGGGCTGGGAGAACCCTGTAAAATAAACACATATTACACCCCTCGTCCCCTCCGCCTGGGGAGAACCCGAGATCTATGCGTTTAAGCCCCCATTACATCTTTCATTTAGTCTGTGGCCACAGCAGCCACGCCCTCTGCAGAACCAGGCTGGACCGCTTCTCAAGGGCTTGGCATTGCAGGGTGAGGTGATGAAGTAGCTGGGCATTTGGAGCTGTCCAGAGACTCCCTCTGACCCCTAGAGGAACAAACAGTAGGAGACAGAGGAGGCGCTGTCTTAAGCCTCAGAGGCCAGAGCCCACCCGGAAGCGGTGGGGTACTCCCACCAGACATTTCCCTGCATTCCACAGATTCATGTTGAATCAGCAGCCCTGAGTGTGTTTGTTTTGGTTTGAAGAGGGAAATGGTGTTTTCTCTTTCTTCGCCTCTCCTTTGCAACAGCTGCGAGAAGCGGGAAGAGCCTAGTGGAGCGGGGTGGAGGAGGGGAGGAGATTGTGTCCAGTCACCTGCCCCTCCACTGGTACACTCAAGTCCAATGGGTCATGTCCAGGCGTCTGAGGTTTCCCTACTTGGGTTCTGTGTGCTGAGGTTGACTAGCTGAGGGGGGGGGGGGGGGAGAGCACAGAGGAGGTGAGGCTACCCAGGGGAAGACAGTGACGATTACACAGACCCCTTCTACCTCTTTGAGTCAGGTGGCTTGCCAGGCATTTACTCCTACCTGGCCTCTGACACTTACTAAATTAAAAGACACGGTCAAGGTAAGAGTGTTGAAACCACTCTCAGCTCTGGCTGGGGCGTGTAAAAACTTGAGGAAGTTTGGAATGTTCAAAGTCCAGCTTACTTCAGTCTGCCTCTGCCCTGCCGGCCCAGCCCCTGATCGGTACTGCCCACCTGGACTTAGCCTCTACCCTACCTGGCCCCTGCAGAAGGTAGGGCCACCACACCCTTCCTGACCTGGCCAGGCAGATTTAACCCTCTGCCTTGCTGAGGCTCTCTGACAGTGCCTTGTCCTCCCCTGTCTTAGACAAGAACATAGTTCCCTATGTTCTGAAGCTGAAGGGGTACGGTCTGACCTGACACAGGAGAAGAGCCCTGGAAAGAGCAAAACACAATTCTGCAGTCCCCTCCCCCCCCGCCCCCATTCTGTGGCTTTGAGGAAGATATTTCCTTCCCAGGGGTCCAGTTTCTGGCAGGATGAGGTTGTACCTGGATCTGTATGCTCCTTCCTCCTTCCTATCTCTGCTGGCCTGCTACCTTGACATTGTAAAGGGAGAAGCTGCCTGTTCCTGCTCCTGTTGTCTTGCCTTGGCTCTGTCTCTAACACCTGAGCCTTCGTTTTCAATGCTAGTGATGCTTTAATGAGGTAGCATGTCTAGAACGGTCCCGGCAGGTCCAGCTCTCCAGCGCACGCTAGAGGCTCAGGGACTGAGACTGGGATGGAGCTGAACCTCTCCCTCCTGTGGGTCCTACCCAAGCTGGCCAAGTGAAAGACTTCTGCTTTCCTCTCCAGGCAGCTGGAGAGAGTGCTGGAACTGATGGGGCTCCCAGGGCAGGTGGTTCTGGCCAGATGGGTCTTCTCTGCCTTGCCTACAGCTGCTTCTGTACCTTAGCTCTGTCCTTCTGACTGAGTTCAGCTCTCCAGCCCTTTGGGTTTAGCGGCAGCTGGGATTCACTACAGCCAGCTGTGTAGCCAGATGTAAGCAGCTGCCCAAGTGTTCTAGGGGACTAATCTGTCAAACTGAAGCCTCAGGTTCTGTCAGCATCGAGTTCCCTTGGAAGAGCAAGGGTGGCTCATAGTTCTTCCTTTGGGGTCTGCCAGCTGTTCAGGGGCTTCTGAGAGTATATGCACAATCATGGATTTGTACTTTGTTCCTGGGGGACCAGGGAAGGGAGAGCATAGCTTCTGTGTAAAAATCCAAGATACACTTATTTATTTATTTATTTATTTACTTATTATGTATACAATATTCAGTTTGTGTGTATGCCTGCAGGCCAGAAGAGGGCACCAGACTTCATTAAGGTGGTTGTGAGCCACCATGTGGTTGCTGGGAATTGAACTCAGGACCTTTGGAAGAGCAGGCAATGCTCTTAACCACTGAGCCATCTCTCCAGCCCCACTTTCTTTGCTGCTACAACCTTCACCTCTATAACCCCCATAGCCCATGCTTGCAGCACTTAGTATATGATAGTGGGAATCCGGGCAGAGCACTCGCTTTGGGCTTATTTGAGACATGGTCTCTCTTTTGTGGCTCAGGCTGTCTTAGAACTCGCTTTGTAGACCAGGCTGGTCTCGAACTCACAGAGATCCACCTGCCTCTGTCTCCCGAGTGCTGGGATTAAAGGTGTGTGCCGCCACCACCTGGCTTCACCTTGAGCTTTTTGATGTTTCATGAAGTCCCCTTAGAGGGAGAAGAGCAGCTCATCTGAGAAGTGGTCCCTAGGCCTCCCTGCACCTACTCTGCTCTTCCCTCTTTTTCTGACCTGGCCTAATTGGCTGTTTCCTCTGAGCCCCCTCTCCCTTTTGCTGTTGAAAATGAGGGTGTCTGGGAAACTTGGGAGGGAGCGACTCCTGGAAATGAGGTCATGCCTGAGGTAGGCAGGGACCTGGCTTACCTGCTGGGCTCTCTTGAAACATGCTCCCTGGGCAGGGCGGGTTCCTGGCAGCCCTTATGGCTCGTGCCAGCAGAAATGGTACAGCAGCTGTGGCTGTGGGAACAAGGCCTATATGTGGTTTATCCTTCTCTGCTGGCTTTCTAGGCCAAAAGGCTTTGAAATGGGCAGGAGGTGGAGGAGGGTTGAACTTGCAGAAAAGAAAGTAGCAAGAAGGATTGATATCCCGTGGGGGTGGCATACACCTGTCATGCCAGGACTCAGAGGAAGGCAGGATTGGCAGTTTGCTGGATGTCCAGGCTACATAGTAAGATTCTGTCTCAAAAAAAAAAAAAAAAAGGAAGGAAATGTCCATTGCAGTAAATCAAAGAATGCCATACGGGTCAAATATGGAACACCTACTGAAAAGTCAGGGAAAGAGGAGAAACAAGAAAATCAGTCTTGTTCTCTTTCATTTACAGCCCTGCTAAGGTCTCACTCTTCCATCTCTCTCATTCTCTCTTCCCTCCAGCTTGTTGCTCTGGTTCTAGGGCTGAGTCACCAGGGGAGGGGGGCTGGGTAGGCAGCATGAGGAGAGGTTGGGGAAGATGGCGAGGGCTGCAGTTTTCAGCCGCCATCGACGAGCCTCTGGGGAGGTGGCTAAATCAGGCAGCGGGGCATAGAGCTGGCATCCAGGAACTGACCTCCCCCAACTCAGGCAGGAGCGGCTATTGCCTTCCCTCCTGCCCCTACGCCTGGCCTAGGGGAACAGCAACCACAACCCCAAGGAAGGCCTGGGGTTCCCTGAAATCTTCCCATAGAAGCCACCACACACCTTCCTGAACTGAAGTTGAATCGAATAGATTTTCTGTGAGCATCACTCCACCCCCCGGAGTCCCGAAGGCCTCTTCCTCTTTGGGGTGAGCCAGCCTGGTGCCCTGAACTCTCTTGAGTGCCATTCCCCAGCCTTTTCAGATCCTGCCATTTTCTGTTCAGTTATTCTATTAGCTTTGAACTGCTTGGGAGGAATGGAGATATTGAGGGCTAGTCAGGGTGAAGAGTCCCACTCCCTGCACTGGGAGCTCCGGGGCTTCCCAGAGGCCAGGTGGGGCTTTTCTAGCTGGAGCCAAATGAAAGGATGAGGAGGCTGCTGTTGAGAGCCCTCGATCTTCCATTTCACTCACCCATCTGCTTCCAGAGGTGCTCTCCACTCCCCCCTGCCCAGCTTGACTCCAGGAGAGGGAGCGCCTATCTCCTGAGAGCTAGGCATCCCCACTTGCCTTTGCCCCTTCTGTCTGTGGATGGGGGCTGGGTTCAGTGGTGATCTGGGAGAGGTCAGCTTTTAGATTTTCATTTTTTTACCTGGACCCAACAGGACTCTATTGATATAGAGTATAAATGAACTGCTATTCATTTATACGTAATACTTTACATTTCGTTTCACATACCGGTAAGCTCTGTCCCAGCCTTGGGATTCCCAACCCCGACCTTCCCTATACTGGCTGTGGTAGGAGGAAGGTGGACCCTATCCTCTGAACCCCTCCCTCCATCCATATGCAGGCCTCTGGTTGTAGACCACTGCATTCTGGGCTGGGAGCCAGAGGGCCTTAAAGGGCCTCTGAGCGGGCCAAGTAGGAGCTAAAAATACTCCAGGGTATGTGGGGGAGCTCCCAGTGGAATCTCTCAGGAGGGCGGAGCCTGGGGATTAGGGAATTGGCCCCTTCCCAGTCCCCATCAGTGGGCACAAGGCTGGCACCAGACAAGGACAGGAATGTGAAGATTGTATGGAGTCTTATTCTAACCCAGCCATAGTTTGTGTTTGCCTCTGCCCGTTCCATACCTCCCGCAGCTAAGAGGAGGGGTCCCTCGGTCCCTCCTTGAGACAGATTCAGAAGGCATGCAGACCCTGCTCTTCAGTGCCCTCCTGCGAGATGAGTTGGCCAAGACAGTGGCAGCCGGGAGGGCGGTGCGTCCACTACATTGCATGCTCCCCAGGTCCCCTGTCCACCCACTGAGGCTTCCAGCTCTTCGAGCTCCTTGGAGCAGACCCCACTGCCAGCCAAGTCTGAGCTTCCTTTTCAGATGAGCGGATGCCAGCCTCTCCCTCCCCTCCCCCAGTGGCTGCCTGCTATCCTCAGGATGTGAAAGTCCTACTTCTATTCACCCCTTCCTCCTTCTAAACAATGAAGTAGTCTGTCCTTTTCTCTCTGCTTCAGGTTCCCTAACCTGCGGTATTGGAATTCCTGAGTCCCTGGAGAGAGTCTGGAGTCAAGTTAGGGCCAGTCCTTGTACCATAAAAAAACCAGAGCGACAGTGCTCACACCAACCATGCCTTCTCAGAGAGCCCATTTGTTTCCCCCAAACCCTGGAGTAGGGGTGTCAGCTGGGCTTCCCATTTTACAGATCAGACACTCGAGACTCTTGCCACAGTGCTTGTCTTATGAACGGGTGCCTAGCTCCCAGGTTGAGCTGTTCCCACAGGCCCCAGCTTCTTTCTCTCATTTGTCAAGCATGCCTGGGGGTTGGGTGTGTGCCTGTGTTGAGCCAAGGTGGTCAGGCAGGTACCCTCCCTAGCCTGAACGAAAGTTGGCTAATGGCCTGGCTCCCTGACCCCTCCCTAGGGCGCTTGGGATGCTGGAGAAGCTTTGCCTCTGCCCCACAGCCAGGGAGGGTGATGTCTGAGCTGCAGCTGTGAGGTGCAGGCAAAGGTCCACCCCTTTCCTAGAACCTCCAGGCAATTCATTCCTGACTCCCAGTAGGCGGAGGCACCCCAGGCCCCAGCATGCCCGGGTCCTGCCCTGCCTGCTCCTTGCTGCCCTCGCTCCCAAGTCCTAAGCAGGGCTGCAGGCGCAGCCTTTGCTCAGCACTTCCAGGCTGGCAAGAGACCTGGAGCCTTGGAGCCTCAGGGCCACGGTGTTGCTGGGCTAAACAGAGGGGCACCTGGGAAGCTCTGCCACCCAGGAGGCTGAGTTGGCAGGAAGGTGACAGAAGGCAGGTTCTAATCAGAATATTAAAAGGCTACAGGGAGACAGAGTAAGAAGGATCTTCTTTCCCAAATGCCTGAGGGTCGTCTGAGATAGGATTTCAGGGCCGATCTCCTGTCTGCTCTGCTTAAGTTTGGTGTGGGCTGGGCTTCCAGGGTTCTAGCCCCCTTGTGTCCCTAAAGATGGATTCTGGGGACAAGGTGGTAGCTCTTGTCCACTCTCAGCCACTGGACCTCTGCTCTTGGGCCACATTAGTATCCAGCCCCACGTCCCACACCTGTGTGCTTGTCTCAAGGTGGGGATGGGGCAAATGGAGGCGTCACTCAGCTCACTTAGAAACCTGTGCATTTTAGAGTTGGATGCTCAACAGTTTCAAGAGGAGAGACCCAGGCCTCCAACAACTCACCCATCCTTACACAGAGTCTCTCTTCTGCCTTTTCTGCTGCCCCCAGGACTTGAACCCAGAGCTACCATATTTTCACATCTTCCTTTACCTCTGAGGCCACAGGATTCCTTCACAGACTCAGATCTGGGGCTGGGAATGTCCTTTGGCTGGTAGACCACTTACCTAGCGTTCTGAAAGCCTTGGGTTAAATTCCTAGCACTACGTAAAACTGACCACAGGGACACGTGCCTGAAAACCTTAGCATTTGAAAGGTGGAGGTGGGGGAGGGGGTGGGGAATCAGAAGCTCAAGGTCATCTTTGAACAGGGAGTATCCTAGCCTCAGCTCCAAACCACACCGGATGGTGGTAGCACACACCTTTAATTCCAGCACTCCAGAGGAAGGGGCAGATGGATCTCTATGAGTTCGAGACCAGCCTGGTCTACAAGAGCTAGTTCCAGGCAGGCTCCAAAGCTACAGAGAAACCCTGTCTTAAAAAAAAAAAAAAAGACCCAAACCATATCTGACTCTGTCACTGCCTTGCCTGGGGTCCCTCTAAGGCCTTTGTCACGGCTTCCTGGGTTCTGGTTGTACAGAGGGCTGGTGTCTGAATCACTGGCTTGCTCATGCTTCCTGGCCGTAGCACATATTGTATCCTTGTCTCGGGTGCCCTTCCTCCCTTCTTCACTGGGTGACTCTGAGACATTGTCCTCACACTCAGGTCAGGGCACCTCGTGTACAGACCTCCATGCTGTCTTTGTGAGATGCTTACCGAGTGTGTGTTTCCTGGCTGCCTTCTCCGTGACAGGCTCTCCTGGAAGCCAGGGCTGAGGTTTATTAATGTCCCATCCCCAGAACATGGTATGGAGCCCATGCTTACTGAGTGTGGATTTGCAAGTTGGCTGGAGGGAGGCTTAAAAAGTCTGGCCCATCTGCCTCCCTTTCCCAGGCTTCTGGCTGGTGCTCCCCGGGACCTCGCCGTGGCTGACGGCTACACCAACCGGACTGGCGCCGTGTACCTGTGCCCCCTCACCGCCCTCAAGAACGATTGTGAACGGATGGACATCTCAGAGAAAAGTGAGAGGAGCTAAGTCAGGAGCCTGGCAAAGGGAGCCCAAAGAGGAGACCACAAGGCTAGCCTGTTAGCAAGGCAGGGTGGCTCATGCCTATTATTCTGACACTTGAGGCTGAGGCAGAAGGCCAGCAAGAACAAGGTCAGTCTGGGCTACATTAGTGCGTTTCAGACTAGCCCAAGATGTATATGGAGACCCTGACTCAAAAACAGACAAAGCAAAGCAGGCCTGCTTCTTGTTCATCTGGGAAGAGGAGCAGAAGAAACAGGAAGTCATATAGTGTGAGCTCAGAGCAATGACAGGCAGGACATAGGGAGGAGGGAGGGCTGCCCCTGGGAGACTTTGGGCACTGGATAATGGAATGAGGGACCCTAGTTCATGAGCCCTCCCTTTCCTGCAGGTGACCCCGACCATCACATTATTGAGGACATGTGGCTTGGGGTGACGGTGGCCAGCCAGGGCCCCGCAGGTAGAGTGCTGGTAAGTGAACACTTAGGATCATTTTTCCAGAGCCAGGAGGACAGCAGAGGGTGGTAGGGGACCCTCTGTGCATGGCTGGGGCCTTTGCAAATGTCTTTCTATAGCCTCATGTCTTCACGGGCCTGTGTGTTCCCTGATTCCTGCACTATGGGGAGAGGGTTGTTTGATGCTCTTCCAAGGCTGGGCATGGGGTGGGTACTGTGTGACCTGCACGGATGCTCACCACTTGTGGGAAAGAGCATAGAGAACGCGGAGGAGGAAAGGGCAGAGAGCGCCCTAGGCAACTGGGTGCTGGCAGGCACTCCTTCCTGGGAGGCTGGCTGCCGGAAGGAGCACAGCCCTGGTGACCCTGGCTCACCCTGGCACTGATTTGAGTGCCCCTCCCTACTATCAATTGTCACCTTCTATTGGTGACAATTCTTTAATGTCAGCCCTTGGGGATCTGAATTTCTGTGTCCCAGGCTGACATTACTTAGGTTTATATAAACTTTACATAGAGTGAAAAGGGCAGATAGTAATTTTTTACGAGCTTTGACCACAGTAACACCCATGAAACAGAACGTGTTTACATCACTCCAGAAAGTTCTCTGAGCCACCTGTGGGCAGTCACCACTCCTATAGCTATCGCTGCTGTGATTTCTGCCCTTTGAACACCCTCGTAAGACAGAGGTTGGCAGTTCAGTTTCCCAGACCACCCTTCTGTACCCCCTGTTGTTTGTAGGCGTGAGTCTAGAAGTTTGTTTAAGCGGCTGTAGACTCTAGGATTAGCTCCTTACCCACCTTCACTAGTCAGCAAATGTTTAGTTAGCGCCGACTGTGTTCCGAGCACCAGAAATTCAGCAGTGCCTAAGGATGAGCTCCTGTGAACAGCTAGCGCCTGTGACGTAACAGAGAAGGCAAATAAACAAGATGCCACCTCTTCCTAGATAGTGTGTAGCCGAAAGGCTAATCCAGAACACTTTTACCCCCTGGAAGCTGGCTTTCACTATTAGCCCTGGCTGCCTGGAATTCACTCAGAGGACCAGGTTGGTTTCAAACTCAGAGATCACCTGCTTCTGTCTCTGTCTCTCTTGTGCTGGGATTCAAGGTGGGTGCCACCATGACTGGCTCAGAGTCCTTTTTTACCTTATAGTTTGGGTTTTTTTTTTTTAATTTGTTTGTTTTGGCTTTGTTAGGGCTCAAACCCAGGACCTTGAAAACGCTAAGCTATGATGAGCCCTAAATTAACTGTACTATTCCACTGAATGTCCCAGTAACTGTATATGATATAAGAGCTGGAGAGATGGCTCGGCAGTTACGAGTGCTGGCTGCTTTTCCAGAGGAGTGGGGTTCAATTCCCAGCACCCACATGGCAGCTCACTACAGTGTGTAACTCCAGTTCCAGGGGATCTGAGGCCCTGTTCGGGCTTCTGCAGGCACCAAACGTGCACATGGTGCAGACATACATGCACACAAAACACCTATACACAAAAAATCAGATAAAAATGAATTTAAAAGTTATTATATGAGAAGAGCTTGCACTTGTGCTTGGCATATAGTAAGTACTCGATAACTGTTCACTGCTATTGCTAATGCTATTATTATTATTATTATTTTAAATGATCCTCTCACTAAACAACAGGGTCATCTGGGGACAAGAACAGCGAGTCCCCTAATCTCTCTGAAAATAGCTCCTTTTAGACCCAGGAGCCAAAGCCCCACATTCCCTCACCCTTCTCCAATTCCTTTCACCAAGATCTCTAAGCTACTCTCAAATTTATGGCTCCTAGCTTCTCCAGATCTGCTCCTGACCCTTGATTTCTCAATAATGGAAAGGGGGTACAAGTTTCAGTAGCCCCACAGGAAGACAAAGAAGCCAGAGTTCCTGTTCGGCCCTCGACTCACCAAGCAAGCAGTGCCCCGGGTGAGAGACGTAGCTTGCCATGGGTTCCCTGATCCTGGCTAAAGCTGTGTGTGTGTGTTTGTGGGTCCCTAGGTCTGTGCCCATCGCTATACCCAGGTGCTATGGTCTGGCACAGAAGACCAGCGGCGTATGGTGGGCAAGTGTTATGTGCGTGGCAACGACTTACAGCTGGACCCCGGCGATGACTGGCAGACCTACCACAACGAGATGTGTAACAGCAACACCGACTACTTGCAGACCGGCATGTGCCAGCTGGGCACCAGCGGTGGCTTCACCCAGAACACCGTGTATTTCGGTGCCCCTGGTGCCTACAACTGGAAAGGTGGGAACGTGGAAAAGGAGGGGCAACAGAAAACACCTAGCCCCACTGAGTCACTGGGACAAGTCTTTAATCTCGGGAGGCAGAGGCTGCACTTCCAGGGTGAAAACCCTGAGTTTGAGGCTAGCCTGGTCTACAGAGAGTGCCAAGACGGCCAGAGCTACATAGTGAGACCCTGTCTTAGAAACAAACAAACAAATAAATAAATAAAAACAAAGAAGAAAGGAAAGAAGGAAAGAAGGAAGGAAGGAAGGAAGGGAGAGAGAGAGAGAGAGAAATAAGGAAACCTAATTGGACTGTGGCCTGTCTGACATCAGCTGGGAAACTGTTACAAACACGCTTCTGGTGTGGACACTAAAATCCAGTTTAGGACTTGTTAGAATTAAAAGCAAAAATGGTCAGCAAAAAAGTAGCACTACCCTGTGGTCCGGGCTGCTTGTAGACTGAGACAGGAGGATGCCATAATCCTGCCTAGGATATACAATGAGTTCAGACCCAGCATGGGTAACTTAGCAAGACCCTGTTTCAAGATAAAAGGGGAGGACAGTGCCGAGTTCAGTGGCAGAGCATTTAGCTTGGCTTGTGGGAGGGTCTAAGTTCAATCTTCAGTACCACAAATTGAGAAGGGAAAAAAGTTAAAAATGCCCCTCCTCTCCCCCACCCTCCCTCATCCCATTTCCCAACGTTCACAGTGTCTTAGGACTCCTTCCACATTTACTTTAGTATTTTTTAATGATTTTTAAGAGATTTATTTATTCTCGTATTTTATGTATATGAGTGCTCCATCTTCATGAGTAGCAGCAGAAGGAATCTGATCTCATTACAGACAGTTGTGAGTCACCGAGGGTGCTGGGAATTGAACCCAGGACCTCCGGAAGAGCAGCCAGGGCTCTTAACCTCTGAACCATCTCTCCAGCCCCTTATTTTACTATTTACCATCTTAAAAACAAACAGGGTCGAATGAAATGTTCTGCTCTCCCACTTTTCATTCACCATAAGCGAGAAGCCATGCTTCAGGTCAATACACACAGGACTGCCCTTCTGAGGTCATAGAAGCTTTCACTGTCCCAAGATTTGCTTAAAAGGCTGGAGAGGCGGCTCAAGCACCCACTAGGTGGCTAGAAACTGTCTGTAATTCCAGTTCCAGGAGACCTGATGCCCTCTTCTGGCCTCTGCAGTCATTACATGCAGGTGGTGTACAGACAACAAAACACCCACGTCTACGATCTCGTAAGCCAGGTGTAACGTACATGCCCACACTTGGGAGGCTGAGGCCTGAGGATCATGAGCTCAAGACCTGTCTGATCCCCTGGAACTGGAGTTCCAGACCATTGTGTACCACCACGTGGGTACTGGGAATCGAACCTTGGTCTCCTAGAAGAGCAGCAGCCAGTGTTCTTGTCCACTGAGCCATCTCTCCAACCATGCCCCCTCCCTCATCACAAAATTCTTAAAGAGGAAGTGATTTATTGGCCAGGTGATGGTGGTGCATAATTTAATCCCAGCACTTGGGAGGCAGAGGCAGGCGGATCTCTGAGTTTGAGGTAAGCCTGCTTTACAGAGTAAATTCCAGGACAGCCAGGGCTACACAGAAGAACCTTGTCTCAAGAAACAAACAAGCAAACAAAGGCAGTGACTTAGAGGTGGTGGCGCTCACACGCGAAAGGGATCATTGTGTTGTTCACAGAGGTGGGCACGGTAGAGGGGAAAGGTAGTGACCCATAGTGTTTGCTCCTCTTCCCTGATCTTTCTGCAGGAAACAGCTACATGATTCAGCGGAAGGACTGGGATTTATCTGAATATAGCTACAAGGGCTCCGAGGACCAAGGAAACCTCTATATTGGTAAACTGGTGCTGGTGGCCCACTGGGAGGATGGGAGAAGGCAACTTGATCCCTAACATACTAGCCCTTTTACCTCTGGTGTGCTGTGGTGTGAGACTGCAGTGAAGATGTGGCATTTAGCTCAATTAGCACACACTTACTGAGTACCACCTGCATGGGAGACTCTGGTCCAAGGCTTCCAGATGCAAAGCTGGTTGTGTCGTGAAGCTCCAAGTCCAGTACGCGAGGGAGGCTACCCTGCCCCCAGAGCCCACTTTTTTGCTCAGCTGGCACAGAGGAATAGGAGCTAATAAGAGGATGGGCAACTATGGGGGGATAGGTCCAGCATAGAAGGGGACACATTTACTGGGTCCTTGATTGAACACCTACCTCCTCTTCATCCCAGGGTACACGGTGCAGGTAGGCAGCGCCATCCTCCACCCCAAGGACATCACTGTTGTGACAGGTGCCCCACGGCACCAACATATGGGCGCTGTCTTCCTGCTGAGCCAAGAGTCAGGTGGAGACCTGCGGAGGAGGCAGGTGCTGGAGGGCACGCAGGTGGGCGCTTATTTTGGCAGCGCCATTGCTCTGGCAGACCTGAACAATGATGGGTGAGAATCTTGGGTCGTGGGACATCCTCTGGGACCAGAGAGAAAGGTGGGGGGTGGCAGGCTAGGTCCGAGAAGGAAGCTTTGCATCACACATTCACTGTGTGCAGCATCTTGCAATCACACTTTGTGGGAGTCTGGACATCTGCATGTCATTTGCATGACACCCATGCTTGCTTGTCTGTACCTGTCCTTCATGCCTATCATCCCTAAGGTGCCAATGGGGTAGGAGCTTCTTCGGCTGTGGTCTCTGCCTGCATGATTTCTCCATAACATGAATTTACTGTTTGATGGGTCTTGGGGGCTTTCTTCGTGGCCTGTGGTCTGGTGTGTAATTTGCTCGGTTGCAGGGCCCCAGCAAAATCATACTCATTAAACGGAGGCAGGGGCCAACCTCACACTCCCGTTCCCACTCTTCTGCGCAGGTGGCAGGACCTCCTGGTGGGCGCTCCCTACTACTTCGAACGGAAAGAGGAGGTAGGGGGTGCTGTCTATGTCTTCATGAACCAGGCGGGCACGTCCTTCCCGGATCAACCTTCCCTCCTGCTTCACGGCCCTAGTCGCTCTGGCTTTGGCATCTCTATAGCCAGCATTGGTGATATCAACCAGGATGGATTCCAGGGTATGAGCCTGTACCCCTCCTTCAGCACCCCCACTGACTGAGCACCAATTGCATCCCAGGCTTGACAGGACTCACAACTCAAAGGGATGCTAGAGAGGCTGTGCAGATGATGCTGCAGAGGCTCGCCTGAGTGGGCCATAAGTGGTTGGGCTGAGATTGCACGGAAGAGAGGAACAAATAGCCCGAGCATAGGAACTTCAATGTAATATACACTACTGAAGTGTACGCTGGGGACAGGCCGGCGGATGCTCTGAAAGCCAGGCAGAGTAAATGGGGCTTTTCTATCTGGGTCACAGAGAGAGTAGGGTGGGGAGGTATCCAGAGAAATGGTTAGAACAAGGATGCTATATGAAGGCTTGGCACTTTGGAGGGTGATTCTGGAGGGGTGTGGTAGGATCAGAGATTTGCCATATGAAGTGATGAGAAAGGATGGGGACAAGGAGGGCACCTTAGTGGCATTGCCTTGCAGGTGCTCTGTGGGACCCGGAGAACAATACAGTCAGACCCGGGGAGAAGTCACGGGGAGGACACTTTAGTGAGCCGGTTTACTGAGGGAGCACTTAGCTCGCCACACATCAGTTCTCTGACAACTTCAGCTTCCCAGAACACAGCTGAGAACTAAAGGGAAGGCAAAGCTTCTTAAGAGGCAGAAGCGGATGTGAGAAAGGTCAGCCAACAGGTGCAAGCACTTCCCACCGAAGCAAGGATCTGTGTTTTCAGCTTAGGGTCCACGTATGCTCCCTGACTTCCTTTATGGTTACGTAGACCTTCTCAGATCAAATGTAGCAGATGAGTCTGGCAAAGATTAGGATCATAAAATGCGTTGAGTTTGAGGAAACACTGCTTAGCTTTTTAACAGTCTTGACACTTGAAGGTCCACTGTACTGAGCATTGTAGTATTGTTATAATCCAGGTTCCTGACAGTGTGGCCTCGGGATTTCTGTCTGCTCATCTATAAAGGGATAAATAATAACAGATACCCCCTCAGCATTCTTGTAAGGCTCAAGTGGAATGGATGCTGTGAGCGCTGGCAGTTACCAGTGGGGAGTGGCTTCTTTTCTGGTCTTGAGAGTAAATGTCATTAGGAGAACCAGGGTGTCTGGAGAAGTGATTGATGGGGGAATAAGGGAAGTGGGAAACTGGATTAAGCTGGGGAACGTGGGGCACAGCTCTGTCTGAGGCACTGATCTGTTGTCTGACTTTGAGGAAGATTTTTTTCCGCTTTCCCTAACCTCCATTCCCACCAGAGCTCTGAAGCTATGAAGTTCCCTGTTGCTCTGAATACTTCTGCCAGTGTGAGGTCACTGCCACACTGGGCTCAGTGGTCTACAGTAGAGAGTGAAGGGGCTATGGAGCCTGGAACGCCTGGTGACTCTGCCCTGTCTTTCCTCCCCAGACATTGCTGTGGGAGCCCCATTTGAGGGCTTGGGCACAGTGTACATCTACCACAGCAGCTCCAGGGGGCTCCTCAGGCAGCCCCAGCAGGTAGGAATGCACAATGACCAGTCAGATACCCCTATCACCCAGGGCCGCCTCCTCCTCCAAGCATGGTTCTGAGCCAGTCCCTTCCACTTCCTCCTGGCTTCAGATAATCCACGGAGAGAAACTCGGACTGCCTGGCTTGTCCACCTTCGGCTACTCTCTGAGTGGGAAGATGGATGTGGATGAAAACTTCTATCCAGACCTGCTAGTGGGAAGCCTGTCAGACCACATTGTGCTGCTACGGTGAGCTAGGAGTCTGTTGGTAGGGCATGCCTCTCCTCTGTCCTCGTCTGTATGAGCCTCAGCCCTGCCCACCTGCAGTGATCCACAGAAAACTGAGCCCCAGCCCTGGCCTGGGATAAGCAAGAAATACTAATTCAACCCGCTTTCTTGTTAATATAGGGCTCGACCTGTCATCAATATTCTTCAAAGGACCTTGGTGGCCAGGCCAGCTGTGTTGGACCCCTCGCTTTGTACACCGACCTCCTGGTGAGATTGTCACCCCAGTTCTTCCTCCCCACTTCTATGTCTAGGCAGGCCAGCAAGGCTTCAGGCCCCAAGCCCTTTCTGGACACTCCTGACACCCCAGCATCAGCAGCTGGAGTCTAGGGCCAGCAATACCTCCCCTCTCCGATATCATTTCAAGTCAGAGTACCTTGCAGGGGCTAATGTGTGAGCACAGGGTTAGGAACTGGAGCTCCGTACCATCTGGCTTAAAGCCCAGCCACTCATTGCTGGGGGAGAGCAGGGAGGACTCGGAGGAGTGAGGGCTGGGAGGAAGGGGAAAGGAATGCTCTTAGGTGCATGGGTGTGGGGAATGAGACTCACCCTGGGCAAATAATTAGTCCGAGTCTCAGATAACATATAAACGGTAATGACTAATTCACAGAGTTCTTGAGATAATTAAATGAAATAATATTTTTTTTTAAAAAAGCTCTAAGCACAGGATGCTGTACCTCAAGTGTTCAACAAAACAAAAAGTTGCGAGGAAAGTAGTAAAGACCAAAGTAGTAAAGATCATAGGGACCTGAGGGTTTCTGTGGATATCAGCCTGATAGCAAAAGGGGACAGTGAGCTGAACAGCAGGGGATGGGGGACAAAAGGAAGATCCGGAGGTCCCGAGACCTGGGCTGGGCCACCAGTTGCCTAATAACTCAGACAAATCCTGTTCCCTGGGCCTCAGTTTCCTCACTGGCGACCTTTAGAAACGATGAAGTCACCACAGCTTTGTAGACGCCCCAGTTTTGCTCCTGACTTTCCCCCCACAAGGGTCCTGAGTCCCCTTTGCCTAGCACAAGAGTGAGAAGTAGGACATGGCTGTCCCTCCCACTGTGACCAGGCCCTGCTCTGCGTCCTCCCAACAGTGTTCAGGTGGAGCTGTGCTTTGCCTACAACCAAAGTGCTGGGAACCCCAACTACAGGCGGAACATTAGTGAGTTCTGGGCACAGGGTGCTCAGGTGGGAGGGGTGGGGTGGGGGATGCTCACCTGGCCACCTACTGACTGCTGGGTCTGTCTGCAGCCCTGGCGTACACACTGGAGGCTGACCGGGACCGCCGGCCCCCCAGGCTCCGATTTGCCAGCAGCCAATCGGCTGTGTTTCATGGTTTCTTCTCCATGCCGGAGATGCATTGCCAGACACTGGAATTACTACTGATGGTGAGGAACTGTAGGGCAGGATGTGGCCTCTGAGATCTCTGGAAGAGGTGGCCAGTGTCCTCTAAGTCAAAGCTGAGGGACAGGGGTATCCCCAAAGACAGAGGTTGGGGAGGAATGGGGGATGGGGATTGGTGGGATGGTAGCCGCACACATGTTAGGAGAGGGATCAGCCCCGGGGTGGAGATGGGGTCAGGGCTTATTACCTTAGAAAAGAGGTCTTGGCTCTGGTCCAGTCTTGAAGAATGTGTCCCCGACTCAGGACGAGCTCAGTTCCTCTCTGAGACATCATGGTGTCCGGGGAAGAGAACCTGGAGATCCGTGAAGTAAAGGGGAACACCCATCTATGGGAAGAAAAAGTGCTATCTCAGGGGATTTGGGGCAGTACAAGATCGTAGGACTCAATTTGGTGATTGGATTAGTGCAGATTCAGCTTAACTTGGGGGTTCAGGGTAGAGAGAACCCTAGCTCCCCCCTGGGGTTTAGTCTGGCTAGGGTTTAGCAAGCTAGGAGGATCCATCTTGGGGGCTGGGTTCACCTCACCCTCTTTCCCAGGACAATGTCCGTGATAAACTCCGTCCCATCGTTATTGCCATGAACTACTCCTTACCTTTGCGCATGCCCGATCGCCTGAAGCTGGGCATGCGGTCTCTGGATGCCTACCCAGTTCTTAACCAGGCACAGGCTCTGGAGAACCACACTGAGGTGAGCAGAGCCTACCCTGGCCAGGAGGGCTGTGGGGTCAGACAGTAATAGGGGGTGCAGTCCCCTCAAAGCTGCCACTGTCCCCAGGTCCACTTCCAGAAGGAGTGCGGGCCGGACAACAAGTGCGACAGTAACCTGCAGATGCGAGCCGCCTTCGTGTCTGAGCAACTGCAGCCTCTAAGCAGGTGGTATCTGGAGGATGCTGATTGGTTAAAGGCTAGGCGGGGCTTCATTGGCTGGCGGAATTGGGGTGAGGCCTCACTGGCCAGGATTAGGGTGGATATGGGGAGACGGGCTTTAATGTGCACTGTTAAGACTGAATGGTCAGCCTGGTTGGCCCAGCGGTGGCTTTCCCAGCCCCGGACAAGGGGCGGAGCCTAATGGAGGTGGAGCTTTTGGCTTAGTTCTGTGCTCCTCTCTTCAGGCTCCAGTACAGCAGAGACACCAAGAAACTGTTCTTGAGCATCAATGTGACCAATATGCCGAGCCACGAGCGTGCTGGGGAAGATGCCCACGAGGCACTGCTCACCTTGGAGGTGCCACCCGCCCTGTTACTGTCCTCAGTGCGCCCAGTGAGTACCCACCGTCCAGGCTCAGCCCAAACCTGGCTTCCTATTTGCACCCCCAATGCGTACGGCATACGGTATAATATAAATTATCGTTTGTTGTGGTGTGCTGACCTCCTCCGGGACTGGACTACTTTTACACAACCTCTAGGAGTTCAACCCGTGCTCCGTAGTAGACGGAAGACTAGCAAAACCCTGACTTTATTTACTTTCTTTCCTCAGTCCGGGACCTGCCAAGCTAACGAGACCATCCTGTGTGAGCTAGGAAACCCCTTCAAACGGAACCAGAGGGTGAGACCCGGCCACATCCTCCACTCCTGGAGGGTCCTCGGGCGAGCTCCTAGCCGTCTTACCTGCCCGATTCATGGGATTTCTTGAAGCAAAGAACCAAAGTGGAGGAGGGGAAGGCCGAGCAGGGGGTGAGAAGAGGCCAAGGGACTAAGAAATGGAGCCACTAGGGAACTATGCATGATTCTAGGGTAGGTGCAAGCGAGGAGACCTCTTTGGTTCTTTTTCTACACCTAATGCCATCTCTTATCTGATGCCACATCTCAATTTCCCCTGATATAAAAGCTATTTCACAGAGTGGGAAGCACAGGCTTAGAAAGTTTCAGTAACCCGCTTAAGGTTATACAAAGTAGCAGAGACCCCCCCCCCCCACCCTCACCCAGTAGCAATGATGTCACCCAAAGAAGAGACATGGAACCAGGGATGGATAAGGAGGAGGGATGGAGGTCCCTTGTCTAGATCTCTGCCATGCCATAGCCCCCTGCTGCGTTTCAATGCTCCTTTCTGTTACCCTGACCCTTGTGCTAGATGGAGCTGCTCATTGCCTTTGAGGTCATTGGGGTGACCCTGCACACAAGGGACCTTCAGGTGCAGCTGCAGCTCTCCACGTGAGTGATCCTGAAAAGCTAGTTTGGTCAGGGCAGAGCTCATGTCCTGGTCTCCTTACCGCCTGCGTCTTCTCCTCAGGTCAAGTCACCAGGACAACTTGCAGCCCATGACCCTGACTTTGCAGGTGGACTACACGCTCCAGGCCTCACTCAACTTGTGGGTACCGCGCTGTCCCCTAGTCCTCTGTGCCTGAGCCAGGGCCTCCCTACCCTCAAGGTGTCTCCTAAGCCCCTCTGACACTTCTCTTGGTCTGGTGTCCTCCTGGGTCATCTTTTCCTAATAACCATGAGAGTTGTATTATTTTTTCCTGCAAGGCAGGTGGCAAGGGCAGAACTAACACCTGGGGCTAAGGTGGTGGTCTTTGCCCTTCATTTGAATGTTTCTGCTTTATTTTCTGGATATTTATCTGTGTGTATGTGCATATATGTATGACGAGTGTTTGCATGTACACATGTGAGAATGCAGGTATGTGCATGCTGTGGAACACATGTAGAAGTCAGAGGACCCTATGAGTCACTGGGTCTCTTTGCTGTTGGCCGTTGCATATACCGGAAAGCGTGTGCCGGGCTAGCTGACTAGCGTTTCCTCAGAGACCCTCCGGTCTCCATTACCCACCACACGTTAAGAGCACTTGGACTACAGATGTCTGCAACCATACTCGGCTTTTAAGTGGGCTCTAGGGGGATTTGAACTCAGGACCTCACACTAGCATAGCAGGCGCTTTACCCGCTGTGCCACCTCCTTAGCCAGCTCTTTTTGTCTTTGATTCACTTTATCTTATGTGTATGAGTGTTTGTCTGCATGTGTGTGTGCATCATATGTGTGTCTGGTGCCCTTGAAGGGCAGGAAAGGGTGTCAGAGCTCCTGACACTGGAGTTACAGATGGTTGCTAGCCATGCTGTGGATGCTGGGAACTGAACCCGAGTTCTTTGGAAGAGCAATAAGTGCTCATAACCCCTGAGCCATCTCTTCAACCCTTCCCCCACCTTTCTGAGAGCCCAGTAGACATCTTTTTTTTTTTTTTTTTTTTTTGGTTTTTCGAGACAGGGTTTCTTTGTGGCTTTGGAGCCTGTCCTGGAACTAGTTCTGTAGACCAGGCTGGTTTAGAACTCACAGAGATCTGCCTGCCTCTGCCTCCCGAGTGCTGGGATTAAAGGCATGCGCCACCATCGCCCGGCCCCAGTAGACATCTTTTTTTTTTTTTTAAAAAAAAGATTTATTTATTTTATGTATACCAGTGTTCTATCTACATGCATGCCTTTATATCAAAACAGGGCATTAGATCTCACTACAGATGGTTGTGAGCCACCATGTGGTTGCTGGGAATTGAACTCAGGACCTCTGGAAGCATAGTCAATGCTCCTAACCTCTGAGCTATCTCTCCAGCCCCCCAGTAGACATCTTATTGACTGCATCCTTGCCTTGTGCCAGCTATTGCTAGCTCCACCTTACAGACGAGGAAACTGAGGCTAAGAGAGGATCAGTAATTTGTGTAAGGCCACACAACTGGTGTGTGATAGAACTGGAGCTTATACCTAAGGGGACCCGTAGTCAACCAGCCTCAGCACTGCAGTCCCCTCTGGCAGGGCTGTGGCCTCATGAGTTCATTATAGATGGCTGTGAGCCACCATGTGGTTGCTGGGAATTGAACTCAGGTCCTCTGGAAGAGCAGTCAGTGCTCTTAACCACTGAGCCATCTCTCCAGCCCTTGATGCAGGTCATTTTCTTATCCTAGGATGACACATCGGCTACAGAGCTTCTTCGGTGGCACAGTAATGGGTGAGGCTGGCATGAAAACTGTGGAGGATGTGGGCAGTCCCCTGAAATACGAATTCCAGGTAAGGGCACCTCTGGGGTCCTGGCTGGAGGCGCTTATGAAAGGCAAGGGGGACATTGTTCTGGGTCCAGGGTTCAAAAATGGGCAGGTGGAGGGCTGTTGAGTTGTAGAGAGTTTTCCAAAAGTTGGTAATCATGACACACAGGTCATGTGTGCCCACAGGTGAGCCCAGTGGGAGATGGGCTGGCGGCTTTGGGCACACTGGTCCTAGGTCTGGAATGGCCCTATGAAGTCGCCAATGGCAAGTGGCTGCTGTACCCCACGGAGATCATCATCCATAGCAATGGGTCCTGGCCCTGCCAGCCACCTGGAAGCCTCGTCAACCCTCTCAACCTTACTCTCTCTGTGAGTTCATCGGTGGGGATGCTCCATGTACACCTTATCTGCATGCCAGAGGGCAGGAAAGCCAGTGTCTTCCCCGGCCACTTCAGTCCCCTCCCCTGTCTCCCATCAGCTAGTCTCTCTCTCTCTCTCTCTCTCTCTCTCTCTCTCTCTCTCTGCCTCCCCAACAAATCTCTGCCCTCTTCAGGACCCCGGAGACAAGCCACATTCTCCACAGCGCAGGCGGAGACAGCTGGATCCCGGGGGAGAACAGGGCCCCCCACCTGTCACACTGGCTGCTGCCAAAAAAGCCAAATCTGAGACTCTGTTGGTGAGTGACCAGGGCAGAGGTGGGCAAGACAACGCAGCCTGTCACATGGCAAGTGGGCATCAGGGGCCCACGAAGCAAGGCAGCCAGAGACCACTCACACAGAGATACAGGTCTAAAGGGGTGCTGTGGACCTGGGCCTCAGGAGTCTCCTGCCAGGCCTCAGGGAGGATCCATCACAGTGGACTCAAAGGGGAGCTGCGGACTGGATTCCAAGGCCTCACACCCTGTTGGGGGCTGTTTTGCTTGGGCATTTGGGGTAGAGTGTAGAGCAGAGTGTCCTACGCAGGAAGAGGTTGAGAAGCAAACATGGGGACCCAGGGGAGGCATAACTGGCCAGAGAGCTTGAAGGGGTATCCCAAGCCAACTGACAACACGCAAAGTACCTGGCTTGGGGGAGATTTCTGAGGCTGGGACTTGGCAGCCTGAGCAGGGTCTATGCTCCTATTCGTGTTCCCTGAGATGAGTTTAGCCCAAGAATGTACCTTGAATGTATGTTTAAGAAGTAGAGGAACACACATGAGCAAAGCAATGTACAAAACCCTTTGTCACTCGGGGTAGGATGAGGTCTAGAAGGGTAGAGGTTAGCAGAGGCAACATCAAGTCTGGAGAGCCAGGCAGTCTTATGTCTGTCTATCTCCTGTCCACGTCAGACCTGTGCCAGTGGCCGTGCCCGCTGTGTGTGGCTGGAGTGCCCCCTTCCTGATGCCTCCAACATCACCAACGTGACTGTGAAGGCACGGGTGTGGAACAGCACCTTCATCGAGGTTAGTGCTCCACTGTCCTCCTCCTGGATGAGGAGAATGGCAGGGAGGGTCGGTGACAGCCAGTGGTGTGTGTGTATGTGGTGTGTGCTGTGTCTGTGTGCTATGTGTGGTGTGGTGTGTGTGTGCTGTGTCTGTGTGCTGTGTCTGTGTGTGTGGTGTGTGTGGTGTGTGTGTGTAGTGTGTGTGTGTATGGGGTATGTGTGTGTGGTGTATGTACTGTGTGTGTGTGGTGTGTGTATGTGTGTGGTGTAAAACAGTGTCATGTTCTGCACAGTTGTGTGTCTGTTGGTATAGGCCATATCCGTGTAATGGTTGCGTGTCTGTGTGTGCATGTATAAAGCTTCCAAAATGACCTCTCGTGTGTCCATTACATTCTACCGCGGTGCCTTTGCCTCTGGGCCCCCCCTGCTGGAATGCCTGCTTTCTTTCTGTCTCTCTCTGTGTGTGAATTCCCTGTTCAGCCATCAAGGTCTCCATCGACCTTCACTTCTCACCCCTGAGATCCTGTGTAGCTTCAGCAGCTGGAGTCCACTCTGCTTCCACACTATACAGAACTTCCTCAGAAGTCGCAAGGGTCATCTGTCCTGCCTGGATAGGTTATGGTGACTCTCATGCCAGCCTTCCCTTGCTACCTAGTGTGACCTTTTTTTAGGACTAGACTCAATTGTTCTGGTCTATGTAATTGGTTTCTGTGATAAATACTCAGTTTCCAACATGGGATCACAGAAGTCACCTAGGCAAATGATGGGGGTGTGGCTATGTGCCAGAAACAGGTGCTGGGTAGATTTAATCCCTGAGCCTGACCTAGACTGTGACCTTCCCCGTCTCTGCTGTCCCAGCATCAGCACAGGACCCAGTGCACAGAGTAGTGAGTGACATGCATTGTGTGCGTGAAGAGGCTGGATGCAGGGCCTTGCAGGGTACTGAAGCAGGGAGGCTGAGAGGCTTCAGCTGCTAGCCCTGACCCCTCTGTCTTCCTTTAGGACTACAGAGACTTTGACAGAGTCAGGGTAGATGGCTGGGCCACTTTGTTCCTACGAACCAGCATCCCTACCATCAACATGGAGAACAAGACCACATGGGTGAGTGGGTGTGTTAACAAGAGCAGCGGTCTCAGGCCAGGCCACACAGCACAGGGCATCTCTAAGAGAACGCCGATGCTGGGCCTGATGGTATGAGCCTGCCATCCTGGTTTCTGGGAGACAAAACAGAAGGGCCGTGAAGGGTCTTCCCAGGCTATAGAGTGAATTTAACTTACTGATACTCTGTCTCAAGACTAAAAGTGAGGGGATGAGGAGGTGGCTCTACAAGCATGAAAATCTGGATTTGGATCCTCAGCTCACAGCACCTAGTTAAAAGCTTTTAACTACATGCCTGAAACTTCAGGCTGTAGGCCAGGGAAGGCAGAGGAATGCTGGGGGCTTGCTGCCAGCCAGTGTAGACCAAACAGCTACCAGTTCAGTGAGAGACCCCGCCTCAAGGCAAAAAAGATAGAGAATGACAGAGGAAGACATCCAACGTTGATCTCTAGCCTCCAGAAGGGCACGCGTGTATGTGTACACACACACACACACACACACACACACAATTTTAAAAGAGAGAGGAGGCTGGGCATAGTGATGCACACCTTTAATCCCAGCACTCAGGAGGCAGAGGCAGGTGGATCTCTGTGAGTTCAAGGCCAGCCTAGTCTACAGCATAAATTCCAGGACAGGCTCCAAAGCTACACAGAGAAACCCTGTTTCGAAAAACAAACAAACAAACAAACAAATAAATTTAAAAGGGCTGATCTTGGAGGGGTAGTCTAGAGGCTGCTACAGAGGACTAACTCAAGTTTGAGGCTCGCCTGGGCAACTCGGGGAGTTCAAGAACAGCTTGGGCTACAAAGCAAGACTCTGTCTCACAAAAACTCAAACCAATCAAACAAATCCTGAACAAGAACAGCATTTGTATATATGGCTAGAGAGCCCATTGGGATAACATTTAACAATAAACATACAACAACAACAAAAGTAAATTATGGGCAGGGAGAAAAAGCCAATCGTCTCTCTTTGTCAGATCTTTTCAAGTTATTCCAGTTCAAGTCAGATTCAGGAAATTCCAAAGGGGGGAAATGTTCTAAGTGACAGCTGGAAGAATTATGACAGATTGCTAAGAATTTGTTGTGGAAAGGATGTTAGTGGAAACACACAGGAGATACACAGCGCGGGGTGAAGGGGAGCTTGCCGAAACACTCCGACTCCACGGAATGAAGAAGAGTGGAGAAAGGGACAAGGGACAAAAAATGCAGTCCGTGTTAAAGACTGCCTCCTCCTTCCTGAGACAGGGTCTGATGATGTAGCCCTGTCTGGCCTAGAACTTACTTTGTAGCCCAGGCTGGCCTTGAACTCACAGAGATCTTCCTGCCCCTGCCCCTGCCTCTGCCTCTGGGATTAAAGGCGTGTGTCACGATGCCTGGGCTTTTTTAAAAAAAGGAAATGATTTATTATACCGATGTGTGGGTGAGAGAGGCAGGCATGCTATGGTGGCCATGTGGAGGTCATCTGTCTGCAAGGAAAACACTCTGACGTTCTCGCCAGCTCTGAGATGCATTCTCAGTGAGGGCATAAGAAAGGTCGTGGTGGCACAGGTCTATAATCCCAGGATTCGGGATGATGCAGGAGGACCAAGAGTTCAAGATATTAGAAGAGTTAGAACATATTTGAGAAAGAAAGACAAGTTACCTCACACCACCAACAAAATGCCTTGAGGTTAAATGAAGTATTTAAAATTTGGAATTAAATGTGTTCCAGAAGAGAAAACAGAATAATTTAATAGTAACCCTTAACCATGGGGAGAGTGAACTATGTATTTGGTTTTTAATTAAAAATTTATTTTCTTGTGTATGAGTATTTTGCTTGCATGCATGTGTATCACAGGTATGCAGTGCGTTCGAAGACCAGAAGAGGGTGTGGTTCCTGGAACAAGAGTTAGCAGACTGTTGTGGGTCACCCTGTGGGTGCTGGGACTTACGTCTGTAAGAGCAGGGGCTGAGCCGTCTCTCCAGCCCCCCTTTTTTTCTCTGAGATAGGGTTTCTCTGTGTAGCCCTGACTTTCCTGAAACTCACTCTGTAGATGAGGCTGGCCTCATACTTAGAGATCCGCCTGCCTCTGCCTCTCAAGTGCTGGGATTAAAGGTGTGTGCCACTGGTCCTTGGCTCCAAATTTTTTTTATTTTAAATTGTATTTTTTATGAAGAGGGAGCATGTGTGTGCCACAGTGTGCACGCAGAAGCTATAGGGCTCTTGTAGGGTCGATTCTCTTCTCCCACCCCATGTGGCTGAGCACGCAGACTTGGGCTGTCAGGATTGGCATCAAGCGTCCTTACCTGCATCTCGCTGCACCGTTATTTGTTTGGGGGACAAAAAAATGTCACGATGTAGCCCAGGCTAGTCATAAACTTTTGGAGCAGTCCTCCTGTCTCAGCCTTCCAAGTGCTGGCACTAAAGGCGTGAGCCACCAGGAGTGGTTTTAACTTTATTAAAGCCAAAAGTCACAAAGGATGAATCTGAAAAATTAGTCTTTATGAAATGGTAAATCTAGGTACAACGAAAGGCGAGCTGAAAGGACAAGTTCCAAAGGAACGTGACCAAGTGTGGGCCTAGTTTAACACGTCAGTATAAAAGTATATGTGAGGTGAAATACAAATACTTAACTTACACTTAGAGAACTAAGAAGGAGCTGGAGAGATGGCTCTGCAGTTAAGAGTGCGCACCGTGCTTGCAGGAAACCTGCGTTCAGTTCCCAGCACACACGTCAGGCTGCTCACAACCAGCTTTAACTCTACTCCGAGCTCCATGGGAGCCTGCATTCACACGCACAGACCCACACACAATAATCCCAGCACTCTGGAGGCGGAGGCAGAAGGATCTCTGTGAGTTCAAGGCCAGCCTGGTCTACGTGGCAAGTTCCAGGGCAGCCAAAGCTACAAAAGTGTCTCAGAAAACAAGCAATCAAAAAACCCTTTTAAAGAAAAACAAAAATAGCAAACGGGTTGTTTGTCTATCTGATTGGAAAATACTAAAAAGAAAAATGTCGTCTGGCGATGGTTGGTGGTGGGAAACGCTACTGACTTGAGGATAAATTGGCGGCTCCTTTGTGGAGATGCATTTGTCAATATTCATTAAAATTTAAAGCACCCATTCCCTTGAATCTAACACATGCTCATATATTTCAAGGAGCTCACCGGACAAGCATGCTAAGATGAATATATGGGGGGTATTTTAGAGCATTGTTAATAGGAGCTGGGAGTGGGAAACCATCTAAATGTCTGTCAGTAGGAGATTGGCTCAATAAAATGTGGTCCACTTCTACAATGACTGTGCGGTCCTCAGAAGAGACCAAGTTGGCCTTTATCAATTGCGAGGGAGAGATGATGATAGTAATAAAAAAAATGGGGAAGACGAAGCTTGCAGAGGTGTGCATATAGTATGACCCCATCAAGGTGGGGCAAATGTATCAAGTATATAGAGATAGCTGGGGAGGGCCCATGGGTATAATCTCAGCACTTGGGAGGTTGAGTCAGGATTAAGAGTTTGAGGCCAGGCTGGGCTAATATAACAAGAACCTCTCTCTCTCAAAAAAAAAAAAAAATTCAGCGCAGAGATTTACTATGCATTTTGTTATTTGTTTGTTCATTTATTAATTAATTCATTCATTCATTCACAAGACAGGGTCACTCTATGTAGCTCTGACTGTTCTGGAACTCACTATGTAAACCAGGCTGGTCTCAAACTCACAGAGATCCCCCTGCTTCTACTTCAGAGTGCTGGGATCAAAGGCATGTGCCACCCTGCCCAGCTTGTTTGTTTGTTCTTTGGAGGTAGGGCCACCTGTAGCCCAGGATGGTCTTGAACTCCCAATCCTCTTACCTCCTTCTGGGGTCACCAGCAGGCATGAACCACTATTCACTGTGGTGGTGGGTTTATCCAGAGCAGAAAATTACTGGAAATCTTTAATTTTCTGTTATGCTTTTTTAAAAATCAAACTAATCTTAAAAGAAGTGAAAATCAAGCATAGTCGTCTAGAAAAGTTCTACTGCAAAATCTGAAACTTTCTGAGCTACAAATAAAACAAAACCCCAAATCTGAAGCACTTCTGGTCGCAAAGCATCTCTGGTGTGGGCTATTTAACCCGAATATACGCATGCATGCGTGAACACACCTATGCTGTTTGCTGTGCATTGTCTGTGTGTTTTTTTTTTTTTACTCTGAGCAATCTATTCATACTACCCATGTTTAATCCTGTCCAACAGCCTATGAGTAGGGAATTATAATCCCCAGTTTACAGATGAATAACAGAGAGGTTGCATAACTTGTTCAGGGCTACATAGCCGGTAGATAGCAAAGTTGGACTTGAACCCAAGTAGCCTGGTTCCCGAATGCATGCTTTGGGCCATGCTGCTACACTGTAAAGTAGCCGTTAAAGACCTCTTTACCAGAGCACGCAAAAGCTCCAGAGAAATGGAATTGCTACCTCAAGGTCACACAATTTACCAGGACCAGAGCTGATATGCAAGTCCAGATGTGTGGGTCACAAACTCAGATGCCAGGCTACCTACCAGATCTGAGGCAGTCTCCCTGGCTAAATTTGTGCCTAAGAAACTGGACACAAGGACCTGCCAGGGCTTTTTCTAGTCCTTGATCGCCCCCTACTGGCTGTAGATCAAATAACAGTCATGGGTCTTGAACCCTGGTCTCCGCAGACTGGCCCCATTGAGTCACGTCTCTCTCCTCTGCAGTTCTCAGTGGACATTGACTCAGAGCTGGTGGAGGAGCTGCCTGCTGAGATTGAGCTGTGGTTGGTCCTTGTGGCTGTCAGTGCCGGGCTGCTGCTTCTAGGGCTCATCATCATCCTTCTGTGGAAGGTAGAGACTCCCAGCCTCGCGGGGCTTTGCACTTCACCCCCCCTGCCAGCCAGCGCCAGCATGGGTCACCCCTCCCTCCATCCCACGGCTCTGCATCCCATTCCTCACCTCCATGTCAGCTGCCCTTTCCCAGACCCTCCCCGCCCCTCCCCACAGCTCCCAAGTGCCACCCACGCCTCCTCCTCGGGAACTGCAGGCTGCTCTGGCGTCTGGCCACCCACCAGGCTGGGCCCAGGACTTAGCCTTCCAGGTCCCCATCTCTAAGCCCCAGCTCCCCTTCTGAGTACTGATGGCCAGGTCTGCCAGCACCCCTGATGGCCATCCCCACCTCCTCCCTCCAGTGCGGCTTCTTCAAGCGAGCCCGCACTCGTGCCCTGTATGAAGCTAAGAGGCAGAAGGCTGAGATGAAGAGCCAGCCGTCAGAGACAGAAAGGCTGACCGACGACTACTGAGGGGGGCGCCCCCCTTGCCCCAGCCCACCTGGGTAACATGGCCTATGGGCCTCCTCTCCGCAACCCCAGCTGGCTGGGGCCTCTGATTCTGTCTTGTCTCCTCCTCTTGCCTTAGGGCCTGCTTGGATCTCACTTGTCTACCACCTCAAAGCACAGGCCACCTTGATTACCCCCTGGACCCCCACCTACACCTGGCTCGCAGGAGCTTAAAATCCCAAGAGCATGCTGGGAAATCCTTCCAGTGAGCATGCTGCTTTCTGAAGGACTGAAAAAGAGAAACAGTCAGGGCTAGACCCCGCCTCTGTCTGATCCCCAGGCATGCCCACAATGACTCTAAGCCCTATCCCCCTCTCACTTGGAAGGAGAGAACAGAGAAAGACCAGCCCTTTTTGTCTCGAGTCCCACACATCTCCCTAGGATAACTGTCTCACCTACCCCTAGCACTGGCCATTGGGATCACTCTGTCTTCCTGGCCTACAATCTCTGCATCTGCTTGGTCTCCACCTGCCTCTGTTCTCCTCTGTGCCTTCCTCAGCTCCTCCTTCCTCTGGGCCTGAGGTGGGGATGTTCATCCTCCCATCTCATACTGAGGTTGGGATGTTTGGGCGTGTGTGTGTGTGTGTGTGTGTGTGTGTGTGTGTGTTGGGGGGGGCATCGTCTCCCACTTGAATGCTGGATACTGACACAATTTCTCTTCTGCCTGAACTCCAGTGTGACTTCTTTAAGCCGACCCGATACTACCGGATCATGCCCAAGTACCATGCAGTGCGTATTCGGGAGGAGGAGCGCTACCCGCCTCCAGGGAGCACCCTACCCACCAAGAAGCACTGGGTCACCAGCTGGCAGATTCGGGACCGATACTACTGATATCCTCCCTGCCACCACTCCCAATTCTTCCTTTCTTCCTATTTATCATAAATTATGACTCCGACAGTCCAAAAGGGGCCACACAATTGGCTGGCACCAGTAGGCTCAAGCATATATCCCTCTTCAGTGCAGGAATGTTTTCTGGGGCCCTAGACTCTCCTTCAAGACCTTGTGATGCTGAGCACAGCACAGCCCTGGACACTGGACATACAGGGCCTACTGCTAAGGGCCTGTTCAGATATACCATGGAAGATGCCACGACCAAGCCTCTATCTGTGCCAAAACCAAGCCAAAGCACCTCTACTGGGAGCCAGGAGGAAAAGGTCCCTGGTGTGGTGACATCTCTCTTCCACACCATATACCCCTTGAGCCATTGTCCCTGGACTGACTTTTCCGTCCAGAATAAAACTACTGACGACAAGGACACAGTCGGGCCCAGCTGCAGTTCCTGGCACCCACTGGAGAGTAGGGGATGTTTCTGTGACTTGTGTGCTCAGACCAAGAGCAATGAACTTAAAAAAGCAGGTCCCCAGAATGGGCTTTATGAATGGATCTCCAAAACCTTGGCTACAGATGGAGTTGGCAAGAAACGCAGCCCAGAGGAACAAAGCAAAACCATGGACAACCTGGACACACTGTGCTGGGACTGACCTGGAGCAGGGTAGCATCCTTCAGAGAGCAGGGGATCAATCCTGGCCCAGCAGATATTGGCAGGATGCAGGGGAGATACTTCTGACCCATCCTGGCCACCTCAGCCTGAGCAAGGCCTGGAGACCCCACAAGACCATGTGGGGTGTGATACTTGAATGTAGGGCAGGGGAGAGGCCAACCCCTGCCTCAGCTGGCCGGACTTCACTCCGCCCCCTTGACCACAGAGATGGCATTCTGAGCTAGCTGTCCATGGCTTTCTGAGAAACCTCGCCCTCACCCTCCCCTAGGAGCTGCATCCCCGTTCTAGCAGTGGAGGCTGATTCCCAGGTCTGCTCCCTGAGCCCCGCCCACAGGCAGGCCCACTCCCCAGCTCTGCCCCTCCAAGGTACTATAGCAGCTTCCCCTACCCTGTACCGTCTTTGTATATGGGCTTCTCACTAAAATAAATAAACAATTCCAAGTTTGTACAGCTGCTTCTGCACCTCCCCGAAGCGGTCCTGACTTGTCTCGGTTCAGGCTAGAGGAGTGATAACCTCCCCTAGTCGATCCCTGGACGATGGATCTAGCACCCTCCTGCAAACTGTGCATGGAGAATTTTAATTCAAGCCCAGAGTTCACTTCATGAGAAAGTCCAGTTCTCAGGAGCGCCGTGGGGGAGTGCTCTTTTTATGTCAAGAGTTGTGGCCTGTTCTTGTGGTGTTCATTTGGGTATCGATTGCTTCCGTTGATTGCTAGACTCTGGCTTGGATTTGGTCATAGGGAGAGAAGGGAGTTGAGAATGGTCTTCATGCTCATGCAACCCGGGCTGAGCTCAGATGATGTAGTTGGGGATTGGGGATATCAGGTTTGCACACAAACTGGCTTTGGAGAGAGAGAGAGAATGAGAGAGAAAGAGAGGGGGGGAGGGAGGGAGGGAGGGAGAGGGGAGGAGAGGAGAGGAGAGAGAGAGAGAGAGAGAGAGAGAGAGAGAGAGAGTTAACTCATACTCTGTGCCTGGCCCTTGATAATGCACTCACCCTTGTCATCCTCTGCTTCCTCATTGTTGGGCTGGCAGATGTCTAAGGATCCCTGTACACAAGCCTGGGGCCACTTTGCCTCCCTCACTTTCCTTTTCGCTCTGTCTTCTCTACTACATGCCAGGCACTGTGCCCAGGGCTAGAGATAAAGCAATGACTAGGTCAGATACAACCTGTGCCCTCCCGAAACCAAAGTCCAGTGGGAAAGACACATGAATCAGCAGTTAACCCTCAGTGTGGGCAGCTCTCATGTCTTAAGATCGGGAGATCTAAGGGGGCATGTAAAGAGGCTTCCTAGAGGAGGAGAAGGCCAAGCAGCCAACCAAAGACCTGAAGAATAGGTACAGGAAGCTGAGAAAAATGAGTCAGAAACACCCCCACTCCCAACCCCGCTGCCAAAAAAACAGCTCGGATTGCCCACGGATTGGAGATTAGATTAGATGCTGGTCAAGGCAGCAGGTAGATTGCCTTGGGAGTGGAACAGGGGAATGTGAGACATGAGTAACAAATGGAGCCAAAGCAGATACTAGGACAACTGGGAAGGCTCCAGAAAGCAGGGGAAACGCAGAACTGGGAGAGAGATGGCTCAGTGGTTAAGAGTGCTTACTGCTCTTGCTGAGGACCTGGGCTGGGTTCCCAGCATCTGCATCAGGCAGTTCATAACCACCTGTAACTCCAATCCCAGGTAATGAGATTCCCTCTGGCCTCCACAGATACCTGCCTGCTCGTGGTATAAATAAGCTCACTCAGGCACACATACATACAGATTATATTATATTACACATACATACACACATACTTTAATTTGGTTTTTCAAGACAGGGTTTCTCTGTGGCTGTCCTGGAACTCTCTCTGTAGATCAGGCTGGCCTCACACTCAGGGATCCACCTGCCTCTGCTTTCCAAGTGCTGGGATTAAAGGCGTGCACCCCCACAACTCATATTTCTTTTTTTTAAGTGCCTGGTCTATAGAGTGGGTTCCAAGACAGCCAGGACTACACAGAGAAACCCTGTCTTGAAAACAAAACAAAAAATTAAAAGACATAATCCAGGCAAACGGTGCCAGGCACACAGCATTACACTCTCCACAATGAAACCTTGTTTTTTCTTGGCTACAGTTATAGACTGGAGTGGGGGGGGGGGCGGACATCAGGCCAGTCTTGCACATCCTAGAAAACACTACCACTGAGTGATCACCAGTTTAGCACCAATTCCTCCTCCCACTTTTTGAGAGCTCATTAAATTACCCAGGCTGTACTGGAACTCACTCTCCCTTGGGTGGGTCTTGAAGTGAAATGCCCCTGCCTCAAGCCTCCAAGAGTAACACCAGGCCCTACTAAGCCAAGTCCCTGTTTTGGAACAAAAGTCAACTCTTAGCTGGGGATGTGCTAAGGGTGGGTCAAAACGCAGAGAACTAAAGAACCTCTGTAGGCCCAGAGAGTGGGAAACATACCACGTCTTACCAAAAGAGGGCGCATGACGTTTTGTGGGGAAAGAGGCCCGAGCTGCTGGGATTATTGCGGTTGAGCTCCCTAGCTCCTGAATGCCTCACCGGCCGGGAAGACTTCTAATAAGGAAGTCAGCGGCACAAATGGTTACCTTCTCAGGCTAGGTACAAAGAAGGTTGCCTTCTTAGGTGGTTGTCCAAGACGTTCAAGGTTTTATGTTCAGTCAAATGAACTAGGTAGTAATAAAATGGAACTCCCTAAAATGAACACTGGCAGTAGCTCCTGCCTCCTCCTCTGCTAGTCCTGAGAGGCTTGGTTCCAGGTGTTTTTGTTGTTATTTTATCAATATTGTGCTAAGCAAATGCCATACCCTCTGAACCACACTCCCACCCCAATTTTGGATGTTTTTCACATGAGAAAAGAAAATGACCCTTTTTCCCGGGCTACTTGGATATTTATGGAAAGCCAGTAGGTTCCACACATATAGGATAGACTAGTACAGACTTGCAAGAGTTTATTCTGGGTCCATCATAGGAGTGGGAAACCACAGAGCGCTCCTATGGCAGAACAGGTGAGAATCAAGACAGGTGAAACAGGTGCCTTTAGGAAAAAGACAAGGCAGGGAAGAAAGGGTTAAAGGAGAGGGAGAAAGGAGGAGACGGAAAAAGAGTTAGGGAAAGGCAAGTGTAGAAGGCCAACCGAAGGGTTAGCGGGACTCTGGGAAGGAAGGGGTTAACCCGGAGCTCGCCCCCAAGAAGTCTAGGGGAGTTAGCGGCCAGAGGCGGGACTTGAGCACAGCCGTGGAAAACAACAGGCCACCTCCAGCACCAACACGGTTAAGGGGGTGGGTCCCGAGAAGAGCCACGTGTCGAAGCGCAAGGCTATTGGTCCTCCCGGAGTTGTTTGTGCGCGGCCATTGGCAACGTCAGGGCGCAGGGACAAACCGATTGGTTAGGCGTTGGAGGTACAACCAGGGCAGGGATAGGGAGGAGGTGGCCGAAGCGCTTCTCCGGGCCGATCTGGGCCAAGCGGAGGGCTGGTGCCAGCTACTCCAGGTCCGGGACAGCAGCAGAAGCCGAGCCAGAGCCTCGGGTGCCGTCGCCATGCGCTGGGTCCGGGCGCTGTGGAAGAATGCGTCCCTAGCCGGGGCGCCCAAGTACATCGAGCACTTCAGCAAGTTCTCCCCGTCCCCGCTGTCCATGAAGCAGTTTCTAGACTTCGGTATGGAGTCAGCGTAGGTGGGCACCGGGGGCGGTGGGCGGGGAAGAGGAGACCCTGGCAATGACAGGTTAACGCCCGCCCGAGGTAGAGATTCTGGGTGGCAGGAGGGTTGGTTTGGAAGAGTATGGACAGGAATGGGTAAACGGCGAGGCAAGCCTGGCTGCCCAGAAAGAGTTAAAGGGTGCCCCCTTCACACTGCTGCTAAGAATGGGGGCTCGAGGAAAGCGTTGGGAGGGGCCATGGAGAGTAAGAGGCACTGATGATAGAGCTAACGGGAGATCTTGGCTACTGAGAGTGGGGACCAGAAGTAAATAGGGGACAGACGTGCTGCTGGGAGTACCAGGGAGATCCAGTCGTCTGGAAGACCTGTGCTGTTCCCGAAGGGTGGGGTACTTCTGAACTGAGCGAGCGAGAAATCCCGGGGCAGCTGGGAAGGGGGCCCTCTGAGTAGGAGGTGTTGGCTGGAGGAGCTCCCCTGAGTGGTGAGCCTCCACCAACTGCAGCTGCCCACTGGGCAAGGACACTTGAAGATCAAATCTGTTCTGGCCTGGCAACCTTTCCTAGCTGAGCAGAGCCCGAGTTACCATGAGCTAGTCAGGTGGCTTACACCCTTCTATGGCCGTGCCTGGGTTTCTGGAGATCACCCGCTACCAGTGTTTTGGGGATTGGGGGTGGCTTTGGGGCAGGAGAAGGCTGTGCCAAGTGGTGGATGGAGACATGGTGTGCCCCTCTCTGTCTACATGGCATTCCCATGGTGCCAGCTGGCGATCAGGAGTGGGCCCAGGTCTTTCAAGAGTTGGCTGAGGTTACAGCTGCGTCACAGACAGGAAGACAGGGAGGTGGCAGACAAGATTTGGGCACCTGTTTTCCAGGAGGTGCCTCTGTTTCTCCCTGTTCTCTTGGAATCTTGAGCTTTGCTTGAAGGGAAATCCTTCAGCCCCAGCAAAGAATGGCAGCTGGAAGGGACTTGCAGGAGTCCGTTCTCCTGTGTGAGGAACACCGAGCCCCTCAAAAGGATGCCGGCATACTCTGGGTAGCAGAAGCAAGGCCTGGTTTTGACCCTAGGTCTCCTGCCTCTAGGCTAACAGTTCTCATTCCTCCACTGCCTGTCCCTCTTGACCCTAGACCAAGGTCCCCATTTGCTTCACAGATGGTCATTAAACATGGCCAATCCTTCATTGGCATCCATCTGTTTCTTCAGCCTGGATGAGATGGGCTGCCTCCGGGATAACGCTGAGTGTTCCTACAGTCCTGGGAATCTTGTCACAGCACCCCAGGGAGGGAAGGATTTCTTAGGTCCCTCTGCCCCCTGGGTCAGTCCCCTGAAATGATGCCTCCCTAGAGGGATGGAAAGAACCGTGAATCAATTTAGGCCAGAACAGTTCAGAATGTGCCCCAGGCGTACCTTGTCTCCCTGGTTAAAGGCAGTGGGGTTTTCACTGAGGGTCAGTAGATACTACTGCTCCTGGAGTGTAGGCGAAGAGGGCTGGTTCGTTCCCAGCAGTCTCTGCCTACACTGACGTGTCAACCTGGGTAGTGGGGTCTCTGGGAAGGCTCCACGTGGTGCCAGTTCCCATGGTTTGCAGCTGTTGATCGATGCCTCTCTTACCCTCAGGATCCAGCAATGCCTGCGAGAAAACTTCGTTCACCTTCCTCCGGCAGGAACTGCCCGTGCGCCTGGCCAACATCATGAAAGAGATTAACCTGCTTCCCGACCGGGTGCTGGGCACCCCCTCAGTGCAGCTGGTGCAGAGCTGGTGAGGCCCCTCATGTTCATCGCC